TAATGAGTCTATCTCATATATTAGTTTCACCTTTTAAGTTGCATTACTGAAATAAATGAACTTTTGCATGATATTCTAATTTTCTGAGTTTCACCTGTGTGTCTTGGTTTGACTTGTTTTTTATTTCCTAGTTTGCTTGCAAGTTCTTATCCATAGTTAATTTAAGTCAGAAGTTCTCATTATGCTGAACAAAATTCTAAATGGCTATAGGGACTCAAGTACCTGAAGAAATACTTCATTCCATGAAAATATCCCTTATTACAAAGTTCAATTAAAATTCTTCAGTTTCTTAAAGTATAATTGACAGCAATAAGGAATATGGCTTTTTCAGTTGTAGTTACTAACCATGCCATGTTTAATCATCTTTTAAGGTACCAATTAAAGATACTGCTTTTGGCATAAATATAATGGCTAGGCATAGAGTTTCTCAAATTGTTTTTAAGCATTAAAATGTTTTAATTCTTTAATTACTATAGCTTCATTTCTACTATTGATTTTCTCTGTTTTTAATTATGCAGTAAACTTAGATTAGTATCAAGGTTTGATAGACTACTCTTTTATTTAATGGTGAAAGTAGGCAGCACAATCACTGAAAACTGCTGGCATAATTTTCTGTCGTTTTGGGGCAGGAAGCACATAAAAGTTGTAGCATAAAATCTAAAATAGGCATGATGCAGTTTTAAAAACAAAGAAAACCCAATCCACTCAATCCAGGAAAAGATTAATATTTAGATTTTAACATCTGATTTTTTTTCTCCATGTCTCAGACCAATACTACCTATTTTCTCTCATAAGGCACTCTCTGTGGCCCTTGCCTCCAATGCTAATGTAGAAGGCAGACCAACGTCCACACTTGTAAAAGTAAAGAAATTCTGATTGAAAGGTTGAGAGAAAAAAAATAAAAATATATAAAATAATAAAATAAAATATTGACTCATGGTATTTTGACATTGCTAGAAACATTTTTCAGAATTCTCAGTTTTGTCTAACCCTAACTCATTTCTTTTCTAGCTAATTATAACTAAGAATAAACACAGTCCCTCCTTTCTAATTTTGAAGTTAATTTTTACCTTGTTTTAATGCAGCATCAGGTTTTGGTGAAGACTCACTAATTTCCCGTACATCTTTTCTTGGTATTGAAGAGCTAAACAAATTATGATAACAGTATTTTAAAAAATAAGTATTTAAATATTTTGACAATAAAACAATCTTCATTTAAATGAAGTATAAGTATTTAAGTATTTTGACAATAAAACAATCTTCATTTAAATGAAGCAATCTTCTATTATTAATTATCCATAAAATGTGGATCTTCTACTAGTACAAAGCAAATAGGATTTTTTTAAAAAAGTGAAAACTTTGGAATCCTTATGCCTTAAAACTACTTTGTACAGATCTTGTCAGTTATTGCTAGAAAAGGAAATTTAAGATTTATGATCTGCAATTTTAAACAGTGCTAAAATGTTTTCTTAAACAAGAAGAATAAAAATATAAGAGCTATAAATCCAAACTCAGAATGAAAAAACAGGAAAGGGAACACCCAGTTTTCCTAATGAGGAAACACAGATAACTGCCTGGTAGAACAATTATATTTATATCTACTTCAAAATAGGTTTCTTTACAACAAACTACACTAAAGTGAATTCAATTCAATGGACTTTACCAAAAGATTACATGATTGGACCATGGTATCCTAGACTGGGTAACCCACATGCTAATGAGAATGAGAAATAGAATCAGCTTATCTTTTCCCGAAATCATATAGTAGCTGCAAAGCTCCATGATTTTAAGTCAAAAGAGGGAGTCAGATTTGTTTAAACCATATGATTCACTTAACAAGTGCTGTGATTTACTTAGCAACAAAGCAAAACCTGGCAAAAAGGTCATAAAATTGGATGCAATCCACTTAACAACCACCTTTGTCAACAATGGACATTCTGGTCCCAATTATGATTAAAATAATACCACATTATTATTATCATAATTATTTACAAGCATATTATACAAGGGAATAACACTTTTTTAGAAATCCTACATCAGAAAAATTATTTAAATTGTAGAAATATTCTATCCATGCACTTCAATATTAACACAAAATGACACATTGTTTTCTGTATTTATATATCCATACTCTCTGTGAAGTAGAAGGCAAGATGCAGAATTATTTTGTTCATTCTATCCCTCTCCTTCATTCTCATGAATAAAACAAATCTGAGTCCATCTGCCATCTCTGTTAGTTACATCATAGTATTTAAACAAATAGTAATTAAATCAAACATTTTCACTCACAACTTGCCATCCTTGAAAGAACGAACAAGAATATTATCTTTCTTTACTGCAACTTCATCACTACAATTTGAACAAACCACCTGTAAAGAAATAAAAAGATGCATTTAATTATTATATAGAAACTTTATTTAATATTATGTAAGAGATCACAAAAATGTATTTGTATGCATATTATACGGTCTACACATCTGGTTGTTATTGTCATGGATGTTGAACATATAAAAAACCCCTTTTCCAACTACTATATATATTTCAAGTAATTTGGATGGGGGTGGAGTGCTGGTCTTAAATTGCTTCCTGCATGAAAAATAAAATCCTTGGCCTCCATCATCCTCTGCCATCTGACAATACACAGCAGAGGGGGAAAAGTAATTTTATATAAGAAATAAAAAAAGAAGAAACTTGAGGCATTGCAGCTTCTATTTTCCTAAAAGCCCTGTGTTAATTGAGAGAAAAGAGGTTGTCTGCCTCTGGCTGCAGCATGATTTTGAGCAGAGGGCTATTTTCTTTTATTTTTGCCTGCTTTTCAGAGAAAAAAACAAACTGCATTCCTTTAAGTGGAATTCCCTCTCACCAAACCCTGATGTTAAGTGAAGAAAAAAGACTCTTGCAATCTCTACTTCTCCAAAATTCAGCTAACAACAACAACAACAACAACAACAACAACAACAACAGCTTATATCCTCCGACCTTACCTTAACAGCTCCTAGGTTCTTGGAGCTACCAACCAGCCCCAAAGGCTGTGAATCTCACCAAAGATTAACCACATAATAATAATAACTTGAAGAACCTAAGGCAAGGTCAGCTAAAGAACAAGCAGGTCAAATTCAGCCTGGAAGCAATATATGATTTGGAGAATAAAAAGATTGCGATAGTAATTGAAGAGTTGAAGCAGAGGGTTGTTGCCTTTGCTGAAAAGATTAAAAGATATGAAAACCGAGTAACTCAATTCAAGGAAAACTCAGAGTTCAGAGC